AAGATCCCATCAAACATATTCCCATGATTTCCCAGGCATAGATGATTTTCCCCAAACACAGCCATTTGGCCATGGTTTCCCTATGTTTCCCTCCTTGCCTTCCCCAAGTTGTGTCCCCGCATCTGACCAGGCCCAAAGTCGAAGCCTGGAGCCATGGGGAGGTTTCCCACTGGGAGTCGGACCAAGATGTGGGTCAAAATGGAAGACCTAGGGGACCACAGATGGAAATGTCTAGTTTAGTATTAACCATCCATAATTTTGGGGTACCTAATTTTGACCCATAGCCATTCAGCAATCTGTCAGGTTAAGGGTCCCCTGAGGGTAAAACCACTGGACATGGCGATGAATGCTGACAAATTCCCAGATTTTGCACTTAAAATGGCGAAATATTCTGACCTGGAGATTTTGAGATAGTACCCCAGAAAATGGATGGTGTAGAATCAAAAGTGATTTGTTTGCGTCAGTTACCAGTTGGGACCCCATCACTTCGCAGGTTCGGACCCAAGAGGACACCTGAGCCAAAGTCCAGCCGCGGGCATGGTTCCAGGAGCTTGGTTTATCGGCAAAGTGACCAGCGAATGATGCGAATGCTTTGCAGAGACAGGGTGATTCAAAATTCGTCTTCACTTATCCAATTTTGGGACAGTTACCTGTGTTTAACAAATCTGTACGTGACATTTTGGTGTCTCTGCATGGACTCGAGGACAGAGAGGGCAAAGTCTGGTCAGATCTCGCAGCGGGTGCGGCGCAGTGGGGGGTAGGAAGATCCCATTGCAGACGATACCGGAGGTTTGTGGGGATGGTGACAACCATTGTAAAGAAGCCTCACAGTGGGACCATGTTATGTACAGGTACTGCTGTCAGTCGCTCATATCTTGCGGGTGGCTTGTGGAACCACTGTGATTTGCTCCAAATGACGAAGGGACGAAAGGATATGCACGAACGGTTCAGGGATGAGCGGCCATGAGCAAAGGCCATTTGTTTACATCAAACTGTGTTTTGGCATGCCTTGTGGGTCGTAGCACAGGAGGAGGAGGAGGACGAGGAGGAGGAGGAGGAGGATGATGAGGATTCAGAATCAAAAAAAACCCAATAGAGATCTCGAGAATTTGCTTTGTGCAGGAAGAGTTGTATATGGGACTTGCAGGGGCGAACATGGATACCACCACGATAACTCCCTGAAGACCGAGCGGGTAGATTTTTCATCAACCTTGCTTTTTTTTTCTTAATTCTCATCTGGCATTTGGCTCTGTGGTTTGCAGGGTCTTGCATCACTTCCGGTCATTGTTTAAGTTGCCACATATTGTCCAGGTTCCACCCGTCAGCTTTGAGCGTTTTCGACGCAACAAGGACGTGCGTGTGATGATGCGGGAGGGACTTGTGGATGTAGATGATTAATCACCATTCATAATCCCATTAATCACCATAAATCACCATTAATCACCATGAATTTCTCCCAAAAATGGTTCTTAGCTCTTTGGCGAAAGGATATCATACTTTCCAGGTGATGTACAACCATGATTTAACCCAAATACCTCGAGGAGCGGGAGCAGCAAAGTGCACCTGTGTATGACATCAGGCGCGTCTTGGGAATTCGCGAATGTGCCAATGGTAGGGATTTTGGATTATCCCCACACAAATTTCCATGTTCATGGATGTTGAATTGTTCGTGGGTAAACCCCCCTGCTCCATCCTTGCTCAGTCCGTGAGTCTTTACCAGGCTCGGGCTTTTAAAGCTAGACATGCTTCATGACCTCCGTTGATGCTGGGATGAAGATCTATGTCATTTTGATTTCACACGATGTGGCCAGCCCATTTTGGGGATAGGATGAGGGATCCTAGGTGACTGGGGTCCCTTCCATGTGTTATTCATCACTCTTGGATGGAATATGCCGAATTGGCGCCACCCAAATCGTCCAACTTCAACGAACCGGGTCAAATTGTGCAGACACATTTTGCGATTACAACTGGTCCAATTTTCTCCATTTTCCCAACGAAAATATCTGGCTAGCTCTATCAGCTGCTAATGGAGATTTGGAAGGCTTTGGTCAGGGATCACGGGATGAAATGATTGGACCCAATGGAGTACCTCGTTTTACGATGGCAATGCCCAGGTCTATCAATCAGGTCACCAGGTCTAAATTTCTTGGATTAAACCAACACCTTCAAGGTCAAACTATAAATGGTAAGGTTTTTGGGATCAAATGGTATGGGTTGAAGGTTTTTTTGAGAATATGGCCAAAATTCCACAGCAGGAACAGACATACTATATAAGTCAAAGGTTCGGCTGGTATTTCATAGAAAGTGATATTTGTGTGGTGTTTTTCAGTCATTGGTTTTTGGTGAAAGCCAATCGAACTATAGATCTACACCATACACCACTCAGCTAACTGTAGGCCTTTGGGGTCTCATTTTGTAGGGGGTTATTTAATTTATATCCATTGATCGGTGTCTTGAAATCGATTTAACATCATTTTTGGTTGGTTGTACCCCTCAGATTTTGGTGACAATCAACCCGATAAGACCTTTGATGTGCATCCCAGAAATCTTAAGTGGATGCTAACCATATTGCAGCCCAGTTACATGTGGAATATCCACACTTATATATCTAGCCTCCAAACAGATAGAACCATAATTTAAATCACTACATTAGAAGTGTTATTTATATAAACCCCTCAACAGATATATGATATATAGATGTCTGTAAAATCTTACTACTGTAAATCAGGTTTTTTTTTGGGTATTGGATTTCACTTTTTCTTCAATGGTTTTGGTGCCAAAAAATATGGCTTCACCATCTTCACCAACTTCCGTTGGCCAGGTCAGCACGCAGCGGCGTGCTGCAGTCCGTCTGCCATGGGGAACCATCCCCGGCACTGCTGGGCGCCGAATTTTTTTTACGCGGGCTGGTGGGTTATTTTGCGGGATTTGATGGTTATTAAATGTTATTAATGGTTAAATATGGCTAAGAATGGGTACATAACCAATATTAACCAATAATGGATATAATGAAACCAAGACATGGCTACTATTTGGGGAAACCAAGACTCATAAGCTACTATTTGGGGATGGTTGCCAAAAACACCGTAAAGATGGTGATGACTGGGGGATGGTCTATGGCATTGGATTTACCACGTGAATATATGGGTTTTGAAGAAACAAACTCATGGGGATATCATTGATAGCGATGGTTGGTTGATGATTTAACGGGACAATTATCTACAAATGGGGATTTAACCATCATTTATAAGGGCTGATGATTGGACTGGGAGTTATGCTGTCCTTCAGATATTGGGGATTTTCACAATCCTTGAGCTGGGAATCTTGAACACTGCTCCTGTAATCATGGTGGGTTTGGTACCTGAAAATCATGGAAAACCCCAGCATCTCATGGTTGATCATGACGGTTGAACATTAACATTACCATTGTTGATTTTCCCGTTTTTTTGACAAACTCATGTGGGTAAATCTGATATGTAGACATATATAGTATATAGATCATACCAATCTCGGCTGCTTGAGAATTTGTTAAGAGATAAAGCCAATATTCGGCTTGCGGCAATTGTCACTACCAAAAATGGGATGATGTTTCTGGTACTAAAGGTGTTGTAGACCCTTTGTGGCATTGTTTGTAGACCCTTTTGATAAGACATGTGACATGAGCTATCCAATTTCAAAGGTACCCAAGTTCCATACCCCAAATTTGTCCTGCAGACTTGGCTCTGCAACCAACAAAAAAGAGTTTGCTCGAGGCGTGTATAGGTTGAGAGTCATTTCATACTCAAACCAGCCAGCTTCAATACGAAAAACTCACGAACTTGAAATCTAATCATGCCAGAAATTTCTGAACGGTGGTCCTGGTTGCAAAGCCACTGACGTGACTCCGACAGGGGACTCCACACCTTTCCATGCCGAGCGGGACGATGTGTGGAGTGAACTTCTAGGGATCATACCATGGGTGATGATCAGAAGGTAAGTTCAATGATATTGGCCACAGTTTGTAGATAGACTACCCACAGTTTGTAGATAGACTACCCACAGTTTGTAGATAGACAAGTTTTTGATCGCTTTTGCATGTTTACCTCCAATTCATTTATTTTGGTTCAGCATTTCCGATGATATTCAATGGCAATTCCAAGATCCAATAGGCCATATAATGGCCATACAATGAATATGCATGGTAGGTAGCTCCAATTTTCGGTGAAATGACCATGAATTTTCCATCATTTTCGATGGCTCAATTCCTACGGAGTTTCTGGGGGGCGTGACTTCCGCTGAGGTCGGATGAGTTCTTTGGAATCGAGGAGACGGCCCGTTTTTTTTTAAGGGGACCGTATTGAGCACCCAATGGTTTTGGGTATCCCAGGTTTGACCAAAGTATGGGGGTATTTTTTGGGGTATTCCAATTTTTTGGGGTATTTTTTTGGGGTATTGTAGTCACGTCAAAGCTGGATGGACAATATGAGCTGAAGAGTTCGGGACTGTAGACACTGTAGACTTGAAAAATAGCCGAATTTCAGCGAGTTTTTCTGGCTCCAGGAGCACCTGAAGGACGCATCAGATCAAAATTAGGACGCAACTGCTGTTGTTTATATAACAGAGTCACTACGCTTCAGTTTGTTGATGGTGATGACGTGCTGACTCTCAGCAAACCCGGTGGCAGCTGCTACCCCTACACACCAACATATTGACTCTGGGCTGGCAGTGCTATCCTTCATTCAATAGCAGGACTTAAAAATGTATGTATGGTTCAGAATTTGTGACCAGTAAAATCGAATGGCAACGCCTTAAAAAAACTGACGGACTTGGCGCTTGCTGCTACTTATTGAGCTGGAAATCCCGGGTTTCAGACCGGATGTATTGAAACTTGCCATCAACAAGATGATATTGTGAGATATCTAAATATATGTACATTTTTTTAAAACCATTACCAATTAATAATTACAAGTACCATACATATTATATTTTGTTTCCCACGATCCTTGTACCTTGTTTTGGTGCCCCACTTGAAACCCGTTATCGGATGTCCCTGTCGCCTGGGTCAGCCATGGCGTGTGACGATGCGCGGCCGGAGAATGAGCATGGCGCCTGGGATCCTTGGGGTTAGTACAAAATCAGAGTTGGTCATTGCTGAAATTTCTTAATAATCGTTGCTAACCAGAACATAGAAATATTTGATAGTTAGTAGCTTATTGTGGTTAGCAACTTATTATGGTTAGTAACAACTATCAAATATAATAGTTAATTGATATATATATATATATATTAATATATATTTGATAGTTGTTACTTATTATGGTTAGCAAGCCAAGGACATGGTGAGTTTGGCAACCGCGAAGTCGTATGATCTCCCACTAGACTACATACCCTTTTGGTCTGATCTAGGGTGCTTGAAGCTGTCTGTTTTGCAAAGTCTATATTTCCTTTCAAAAAAGAGTCTCTAAGGTCACATGAATCCATATATTTTGTTTCATGTAAGTTCTTTTTGGGTTCGTCACTTCTTGTTGGTTTGATCAGGGTGAAACTGTCTGCACTGTGGGCAAGGCGGGCAACAGCTGAGGGATGATGAGCAGCATTCAGGAGTCAGAACCCACCCTCGAAAATGGTTTAATTGTGAGCTAATTAATTCTAATTCACAATTCTAGGATAAACAACAAAACAATCAATATGCCATTTGCAGTTCTCCCCCACCTACCCATTGCTGCGCGACTGTTTTGCTTCGCTCAGAGAACGAGGTTGCCACGCAGAGAACCTTGGAATTGCTTCTGACCTCGTGCCACAAGGCATCGGGGTATCCGGGAGTATCCGGTAGAATGTGGTTAAAACAATGCCACTTAAACCATCCATTTGAGAATGGTAAACATACCACCCATAAAAATGGTCATTTGGGGGATGGTTTATGATTGTTTTACAAAAAAAACACTTACTTTCAGACACATCCAAAATGCATCGCTTTGATCCAGAACATGACATTGGTCAATGTTAGTCCTCGTAGCCACAGGTCTTTCTGTGGCAATAGCCAATCTGCGTGGGTCGCTGCCAGGCACGTTTGTGGCAAGAGGTACTGGCCTTACTGACTTCCATGAGATCTCGGAGATTGGAGGTCAGGATCATCTCTTGCCACGCTGGAAGGGGGGCAAATTTTGTGCAACTTTAGCACCAGTGATCGTTTACATGACAAATCATTCTAAGAAAATGATAGTGGTTAGTTCAGCTCGGCAAGATAGTGCGCGATAGTGCTATAAATTCTAGTAAAATTCCAGATTCCAAAGATTTGTAGCAAAGTATTTCTACCCTCTGGTAGATCTGGTAGTCAAACATGGCAATGCAAGATCCTCCATGTGATGATCTTCGTTGTAAATCTCCCTCTCTGTATGTATGGGATGTCCCAGCCATGTTTGATGACACTGGAGGGCATTAACCAATATATAATATATATATAATATATATATTATATTTATATATAATATATATATATAGATATAATATATATATATATTATAATATATATATATATATTCCACGAATCTCTCATTGGTATTTATTCTATCACCATGATCTCCACAGTATACCACCATGCTTGTTGGTTAGATCACTACTTGAAATGGTCATATTTTCCAGTAAGAAATATCTTCCTTTCATACTGCATGATTCCATCTGCCGCCAGGTGAGCTCCTCAGGCCTTCACTATGCGCTCCACGCCTGCGAAGTGGGCGCCCAGTGGCAACTGGCCTTGGAGCTGGGGCGGTTCCACGGACGTGGGGCGATGGCAGCGCTGGTGGCAGGCGAGGGCGGCCGGGGATCGGTGATTAAAAACCGCGAAAGAATGGTGATTTCATGGGATTTTAAACCATTCATTCATGGTGATCAGGGGATTTTATGGGATTTGATCAAGTTCATAAATCTAATGATCCATTTTTAGTGAAACATTTCAAGAAATTGAACTTTAATGGTTCTTCATAGGCCTTTTAGTGAATATAATCCCATCCCCCATTCATGTGAAACACACCCCATTCTGTCCCGAAGATGTGGGGCTGTTTAATATTGGGGAAGATATTAGCAATTATTAGCTCAAATGGTTGAAATTCAGTTGGTGGCTTACTATTTTGGTTAACCCTCTTTGATATGAAATTATGATACCTTAATTAACAAACAACTTGTTAAACCGCATCTAAGCGCTTAAGAACCAGTAACAGCCACGACAATGGGATCATGACCTCCACCATCCAATCTTGGTCTCCGAAGTCTTCGGGGCTTGGTTGAATCCCTAAAAACAAGGGTCCCCAAAAACACGGGCTGGGAGGTTTCCAAAGGGTGATTTCCCCAGTTTTCTCAGGGAGATGTCCGAGCGAAAAAAATCCAATGCCATAAACGCCATAAACCTACCATGACTGGGGATGAATCTACCATGACTGGGGATGAATCAAAAATCACACTTTTTTGGTGATTTTTGGGGTGGTTTATCAGATACATTTTAAGCACCGATCAGGATTCTTCAGCCATAGTTGCGACAGGTTGTTGGCAGCTACCATAGTTGGACATTTTTCTTATCCGGTGCTGATATGTTTTTCAACCTCGAATGTGAAGAGACAACATTCTCAGGACAGGAGACCAAACTGACGGAAAACGAAGATATGGAATATACCATGCACATTGTATCATTTTTGTTTTTTTCGCCTTTTGAGAGTTGTTTGTCTTGGCACTTGGGAAGATCAATACTATCTTGAGGATCATTTCTTAGTTTCGACTTACTTGGTTGTTGAGAGTGGTTTGGAACTATGTCTTCTTGGCTGGATGGCTCGTATTTTCATTTCATTGTTCATAGCCACCAGTGCTGGTGGCTACGTTTGCAACTGGCACCGATGGATTCCGATGGATATTTGACAATTTACTTTGTTTTACAGCGTACTACTGTATTGGATTTGTAATGTAATGTAGTTGTATGATCCATTTTCCTTCACTATCCCCAGTCTTGGCTGTACATACCCCCCATTTGCTGGTTGAATCATTCTGCTTCTAGCTGGCCATATACACATTTCTGTCAGTTGAATCCGTGTCTTTGAGTAATATCATAGAGACATCTAGCTACATCCACGCATTTTTGTTTGGTGACCCATAAATGAAGTACCATGGCCTTGCAGCATTTTTTATGAAGTAAGGGGACCACCCACATTAACATTTGAGGTTGGTGAATTATGATGAATTTCATCCAAATCAAAATAACAAATTTGTTTTGCTAGAATCCCCAATTTCAATCGTAAGATCACCCCTTCGTACTAGTATATATCTTTCAATTCTTGATATATAGTAAAACCATGTAAAACCACATTTTTTCTCCTTAAATCCAAACATTTCATGGTAAAACCACCACTAATTTCATAGTCAAATCACAACTTCTGGGCAAAAACCACCATTTTGATCCGTTTTTCCATGGTATTCCCATGGCAAAACCACCATTTTTCCATGGGAAAATCACCCAGCATCCTCCGGAGGCAGTCAATGGCAGCGCGCCTTGGTGCTGCCCACGGATCTAACGGACCGTTCGATGGCCGCCTTGGCCCGTGCCACGCGTGCCTCGGACTGACTCGGATGGTCCGTGGGATGGTCCGTGGGAAAAAAAAACATGAAATCTTTGGTTTTTTTTCAGATGTTTTAAGGAAGTCCCAAAGAATTTTTGGAAGATCACCGGGAAAAAAGTGTGTCAACATGGTTTGAGCATGATTTTGTTGGGAAAAAACCGGTTGAGATCCAAAAGATTGATGGGGTTGGTTGTGAAAGTAAGAATTGGGACTGGACAAAGTGGGAAAATTTGGGAAACTGGAAGAGAAACGAGAGTTGCTCACATTCGGATGGGGAAAATCATAGTCATAGACTGAGATTACAAACCCAAATTACGTTACCCAAAAGCATCAAGAATAGGTCATTCTAAACAGCAAACAAAGATTTTGGGGGACCTGATTGACGACAGCAATAATTCCCCATGTTCGTCTAGGAATGGCACAAATGCACGAGTTTCACCTGGAAATTAAACACCCCTTTTATTGGACTCAACCATTGATTCCAGGTGACACAAGTTCTCTCTCTCTCTCTCTCTATATATATATATATATACACATAGAGATTCCATACATGGATGTCACTTGGGGACACCACTCTTTCTCTCACACACAAATCCAGCGTTTTGGGGCAGTTGCACCATGTCAGGTAGCTTGTCACTACTTTAAGTCTATTGAAGCAACTTCTTTGGAGAGGTGGCTTTGGAGTTATGTAGTTATGTAAGCATATCAGTAGTTACAGGGGCCTCATATCCCAACTTAGGTGAAGTCACTCTGGTCTTCTACCCATTTTCTTCCCAAGTGGACCCATTTTGTTCACAGTTGGTCCGTTCGCCCACCCGTACTTCCAGTGGTTGATACAACGAAGTGGTGAGTGCAATGAAGGTGGTTGGAACTGCAATGGTTGACATCATCCCCCAGTCTTTCAATATCTGTAGGATCACAATGCTAAAATCAGCGAGGTTGGACAGCGGCATTGGAACTTCTGACTCGTCGCTGATCAAATCTTTGGTGGTTTGGGAGGGGGCTCCCCAACTTTCTTTTGGCAGTCATTTGCAATAGACTTATGAGATTCATCAGATGATCTTAATCGAGCTTGCCATTTGTAGTTAAACTGGTCAAGATCCACTCCCTGCTCATGTTTTCCATTTTTCGAGAAATCATGGGACACAAGCATACATAGATGGGTCAACAGCGATGATGATTTTCCGCATCTTTTGGGGGCAACATCCATGAGCAACAGCTATATATATATATGTATATATATATATGTATGTATATATATATATATATATATTGATGTTCGCCCGGATAAAGTGGTGGAGTCAACATGCAGATTTGGTTGAGGGCCGAAGTCGTCAGCGCTTGGATTTGCCAAAGAAGAATCGAGAATCAATTTTCATTCCAATCAACATACCATTTATCAGGGTTGCTCCAACTCATAGGTCAATGATAGCCACTTTTGGGCGGTAAATTGCTGATTTTACCTCTATATTTACCATTTTTTTTCACCCCAAACGTACCTGGGGTGTTTGGAGCGACCCTGAGGTCGCACCGATGGTGGCAATCACTGTGACGCAGTGCTTCTCAGTGGCACAATGGCCGCATGTGGCCAGGTCTCACACTGGGAGTGTCTTGGCAATCGCTTGTTTTGTGATTTTTGTGGCACGGGAGAATGGGATTCCATAGTGGGATAAATGGAGGTCTAATGGGATATTTCTGGGATATACCCGGAGCTTCGCTCAAACATGGCCAGCTGCAAAAAACCCTTTTACATAGAGGGTTGAACAGAAATTCATCGAACAAAATGGTGGATTTTCCAGCGCATGTTTGAGCACCGGAGGGTCGTTTTCCTGGAGCTTCATCATCCCAAAAATGGCAACGGAGGGATTTCAAGACATGAACCAAACATGTTCCATTGGAGAAATGTCGATGTCAAATGAGAGAGCCGATATGTCGATGTTTTTTGAAATTGTTGCAAGCCAAATGTGCAGTGCTATAGTATGCTATAGTATAAGGCTATCAATGGTCAACGCCCATCAGCTTGGAATTCAGACCAGTTGCACCTTTGCTTATCGTTTGGCGAAACGGTTTTCAGGTTGCTGACCGCAACAAAAACCAATCCTGTTGCTGCTGTGCCCCCGCCACGAGGTTTATGGATAAAAAATCTTTAGGATGCTGCTGTTGGTGGATGTTGGTGGCAAGTCTTTAATCCTCTTTGGTCGTGAAATCTCAGTGTTTTTCTTTCTCCAAAAGATGTAGATAGATTTGGTCATCCGGATGTTACCTGAGAAATAGTGAGAGCGGCAGTCCTATGCCCACCCAACTACATGAGCGGTGGCTGAAAGCCGTTGTCATTTCTGATGGTTATTTTGTGTTTTTCATTCCATGTATAAACACTGCGAGGGATTTTTAAGGGGCTTAATTTGACATATCGATGATCCCTTTAACTAGTATATACCGCAATTAGTCACGGTTAGTCACCGGAATATACCATCCGAACCCTTTTTTTGGTACAATAGACGCCACTAGCTCTCCCTTCAAGAACTCAATTCTTGAAAACACCAATTAGCCACCGTTTGTTACGGAGTGTGGTACTAAGCCACCATTTTTTTTGGCTCATCACTCGGGTGAGCAGCTCGAGGTAAGGACTGCCCTGGCCTTCCTGGGCTGCCTGCATTCCCTGCGTTTCGCGCCGACGCGCTCCACACTCAACGCGGTCATTGCAGTGACTCCACGCACCTTGGCCGTGAACATGGAAGCCCTGCGAGGTGCCACCTAGCCACCGTTGGTTGGTTGGTTGGTTGGTTGGTTGGTTGGTTGGTTGATCGCCTATCTTTATACAATCTGATGTAACTGATATATAGCTACAATAGTCATAAACCATAGTCATAGCCAACCCAACTATGGGGCAGCACCTGGTGGTAAAACTGATCATGTGGGAAACAAAATGCCATGAATCTCCAGATGGTACCCATTTCTGGTGAAATGATAGTTTTGGGTGTAGCCATAGCATACAAGTACCCCATTTTATGGGTCAACATGGGTTACATACGTAAATAGCAGTACCTTCAACTAGCGTCAAAATGCCTCAAAATGCGTCAACGATCTGATCAATAAGCTATTTGCCTCATCGAGAAATGGATTGCTCAAGGCTCAAAGCAATCAGCACTCTGTGAGTAGCCCAATATATTCGGGCTGTTCTATGCCACTGTTTCTATTAAGTGCATCCTCTGGTTCCCTTTTTGCTCGGTATCCCTATGATGTTTGGTTAAGAATGGTCGTTCCGATTAAGAATAGTGATCCCGAAAACAATTGTGCAAAGCAAATCCAGATCAAATTAGCAAGGAATATCTTTATTTATTTTTATTTCCTCTATTTCTTTGGGAACCCCTACAATTGGAGGTATGGGGGTAGCCCCCAAAAGATCCAAGTCATTAGACCAAAGTTTCGGATAGCTTAACCCATGGTGACGACTGGGGATGGAAATTTCTAGGTTGGGACATTGCTCTGGAACTCTTCCAGCGCTTGGAGGAAATCGACACGGTGAGTGTCAACGCCACCCTGAGTGCCCTGGAACGAGGTTCGGCGGTGAGTCTCCTGGGCTTTGGAAGATGTATAGCGTAGGCGAGCATACCATACCATATATGTATATAAGTATATGTATATATATATAATTATATACATGCATATGATGGGTATATAAATATATATAAACATACACACATACGCACATACGCACATACACACATACACACATACACACATACACACATACACACATACACACATACACACATACACACATACACACATACACACATACATAAACATACAGACATACATACATAATACATACATACATACATACATACATACATACATACATACATACATACATACATACATACATACATACATACGCACATACATACATACGCACATGTATATATATATGTTGTGAATGTAGCATTTTGGGAACATGACCATCTTGCCATGCCACTTTTTGCGGAGACCTTGCAGTGGCCTTTCATTCATCGCGGCCGATCGCTCATCCTTTTCCAATCAAACCCAAAGAGGTGGGCGGGCAGTGGACAAGAGACCAGAGGCTACGGAGGATAACAAGGATCACTGGGTGACCCGCAACTTGGTTGGTTAGGCGATCAGGGATCCCTTGGTTACTTTATTGGGGAATATTCGCATTGGTAGCGGAGCACTGGGCTGCCGCGGAAAGGAGTTAGGTCACTCCCCATTTTTGGTTTGTGTTGGACTATCTTTTGCTTTGTTTCCTAGTGGGACAGGGTTCCAGCACTAGGATCACAGGCCTCCATTTTTGACAAAAATCAATTCAACACAGTTTTGTTTGCACGCCATCTCCAGCGCTGTGGTCAACTGACCTGAGAGCCATGGCATCTGGAGAGGAGTCCGCGCAAGCAGCGGGATCCGGGACCTACAACTCGGCCATTCCCTGGAACCAGATTCCGAAGTTCATTCCAGGTGAGACCGATTTGAGAACGTATACAAGGAAACTGGAGTTTTTGCAGTCACTGTGGCCAAAAGACCAACTGGAACATCTTGGGCCTCGAGCAGCATTGGCCGTAGAAGGGGTGGCTTTTCAGAAAATTTCTCGATTGGACCCTGCCAAACTGCGAGAGCCTGATGGAGTCTCCTATTTGGTGAAAGCTCTTGGGGGCCAATGGGGCAAGCTCGATGCAGAGGACAAGTACGATCTCTTCGAGCGTGCATTGTACCAGGTGGCCCAGAAGCAGGATGAGAGCCACGATTCATATCTGGCAAGGCATGATGCAGCTTTTGAAGACTTGCTGAATCGCAAAGTCTCCCTTGAAGAAGTCAGAGCCTATGTCCTGATGAGACAGTCGCTTCTCAGCTCAGAAGAACGCAAGAGGGTGATCATGGATAGCCAAGGTGAACTCACATACGACAACGCCAGGAAGCAGATCCGACTTCTGGGATCACGCTTCTTCCAGGATCTCCAAGTCGGCTCTGGGGGTCGAGGAACGAAGCTCAAGACCTATGACGTGAACTATGTCGACGAGGAGATCGCCTACTTCCATGATGATGCCCCGGAAGAGGTAGATGATGAACTTCTGATAGCCACTTTGGCTGAGGAGGGGGACGAAGATGCAAGCTTCGTGCAAGAGTTCGAGGAACAGATCATGGTAGCCTGCCAGGAATCAAGTGAACTTGCAGGATGCTTCATGGCCTATCAAGAAGCTCGCTCAAGGCTGAAAGAAAAGGCACGATCCCGTGGGTTTTGGCCTTTGAGTGGACAGAAAGGACGTGAAAAAGGAAGATGGAACCGGGGAAAAGGAAAAGGGCATGGTTTCCAAAAGGGGTCAATGGGCAACTTTGGAAATGCCTTGATGGGTCGAAGAAAGACCCTTGCGGATCGGATTGCAAATAGCACATGCAGACGATGTGGAAAGCCTGGCCATTGGAAGCGAGAATGTCCTTTGGGCCAAGGCACATCATCAGCTGGCGACGCCAAGAGGATCACGGATGGTGAAGCCTTCACGGGCATCATGACTGAGGAGTACACGGTCCTGAACACCAGCATGAACCAGATTCAGGACAAGGATGATGAGGTGATCATGCAGCTGCCAGCAAACGCGCAGTGCTATGTTTCCGGCCGCCTTGAGGTCGGGCAGGTGTCCAAAATTCATGATACATGCGGGTCTGGTCCAATCAAGAAAACTTCTATGCCCAGTGAGAAGGGGTTTTGTGGGGAATCTGAGTATGTGTTTTTGGGAGTGAGTGAGAGGGAGAGATTCAGTCTGAAACAAACATTGGTCCATCACCTCCGCAAATGTTGTAGGAGTACTGAATCCAAGTCCGCTGAAGCAACGTTCTCTCACGAGCCAGTCTGTCCTGAGACCACTTTTCTGCAGAGCCACGTGCCATCTGCGGGTGGTCATGAGATTTTTAATGCTGAGGAAGCGGCCGACGAGGCCATCATTGACACGGGCGCCAGTAGGGCTGTCATTGGAAGTGATAGGCTTGAGATGCTGGTTCAAACTTTTCCTAGGGAGATCAGGCAAAAGGTCATGAAGGTGCCTACTGATGGAATTGTTTTCAAATTTGGAAATGCTGGCCGCCTGTCAAGTGAATATGCAGTGTTGCTTCCTCGAGCTCAAAATGACTGGCTACGTGTTGAAGTGGTGCCGGGCCAAACTCCTTTTCTTATCTCAAATGCAGTGTTGGGGAAGCTACGGGGAGTTGTTGATGTTGAGGGTCGACAGCTTGGTTTCAGGGGTAGTGATAAGTGGATACCACTGTTCGGGGTAAGGAAGAACTTGTTGGGGGTTAAGGTGATGGATCTGTTGATGAAAACTCCCAGCATGAGCGCGCGTGCACAAACACACATTTTGTACACACATGATTCCAGTGAAAAGGGTGAGGTTTCCGATGTTCAAGCCCAAATTTTCTTGCATGAGAAAAATCAGAACAGTTCTGATGGAATTCAAGAACGTGAAAGTTGTTTTCTTAAAGAAAACATGGTCACATATCTCCAGCAGGATCTTGTGAAATCAAATGCAGCAACCGTGCTCAGTGAGGAAGTCACCACAGGTGAAATTTGTCCCGAAGGATCCAATCGACAACATTGTGGCCATGGAAGCTGCGGTGCCGTACCTGTCCAAAATGTTGACGTCGCCAGTGGACGAATCGTTGAAGGAACATCGAGTCTTTCACGATGCTCCCACATTTCTCTCACGACCGCCGGGGGTGGCCAACTTGGCAGAGTGGGGGGCACTGACGGTTCCCTCAGGCAAGCACCAGTCAAAGACCTATGCCACAGTGTACGAGAAAGAGAGGTCCTATGTGAACCAAGTGTGGAACCGGAAGGCAGTGGCACCGTGGTTGAGAAGCTTTCAACTGTACTGCCGTCACCGCCGAGAAGCCAGCGTGGAGAATCAGAGGGAGGAGACCAAGAAACAGGGTCTTCAGATGCCAATCTCGCCACACATGACACCCGAGACGGCAGCTCTGATTCGTGCAGGAGGAGCCCCATGGCTGACTCCTCGGACAAACGATCGTCTGATCAAGGAGAAGGCCAAGATGGATGCAGCGAAAAGTGCCAGCTCAGAAGGGGAAAAGGAATGGACACATGTGTCCGAGATCGAGAAGGGCTCCAAGCGAAGCCTGCCAATCCAGAACAACAACATGGAGACTCAGCCCAATGCCGACAAGATTGCCCAGCTGCAGGCGCAGATTGCTTCACTGCAGAGAGATTTGAACATCGAGCTCAATGGGAAAGTGTGGCAGTCGGAGGAGGCATGAAAATCCTGACTCCCAATGAGGTTGCTTTTATCCAATCAGAACTTCAAGACAAATCACAGAAGATTCAGGACGGGTTGTCCAAATTAACTTGTGATCCCAAATACCAATTCCGAAGAAAGAGTTCTGAAATTAAACAAGGGAGAGTAACCAAAATGGGAAAATGGGTAGGTAAGAGGGTTGACTTGTTAGAAATATATTGTGACAAAGATTCTCAACTGACCAAAGTATGTAATATGAAAGGTGGTAGGGCTATACGATTCACCAAAGAAGATGGAGATCTAGCTACCGTAGAGGGACAAAACAAATTGTGGACATGGATAGAACTATATGAGCCACGTCATATCTGGGTAGCTCCTGAATGTCGTCTTTGGGGAAATTGGGCCCGGTTCAACATGGGAAGAAGCATGACACTGCATGACCAACTTCAAAGTGAAAGACAATCTGACACACCTCATTTAGAGCTCTGTAATCGGATTTATCTACATCAGATCAGCAATGGGAGACACTATCATCTGGAGCAACCTCGTGGGTCGGAGATGATTTGCCAACCACCGCTGCAAGACGTCCGGCTGGGAACTCTTCCAGCAACATTCGACATGTGCCAGGTTGGGCTGTTGCAGTTACCATCCTCCAAGGACTTTCTGCAGAAGAGGACTCAAGTTTTCACCACCAGTCGCAAACTTTTTGAACAAGTGCATGAACAGTTTTGTCATGGGATCCACAAACATGACCCCATAAAAGGGAAATTTAAACATAAGGGGATGTGGAAATCCGTATCAGCATATGCACAGGCATACACTGCACAGTTTGCACGACGCGTGGTTAGGGAGATTCTGTGGGAATGTCAACACCCTGAACGACCCCTGTTGGAAGAAGAAATGATTTTGGGGTTAGAAGAAAAGGAGGTTCACGAAAGGCCCGAACTGGCACAAGAATGTCTTCAGTTGCAAAAGCGGCGTCGGGTGGCATTGAAGCAACCTGAATCATCCATGTATGGGAAAGCACCAACATGGAAAGATGTTTTTCGCACTGCAGGGTATGAGACTAAGAGAGTAGGTGGTCAGCGTTTTGAGGGTGATCATGTGCTTATCAAACTTACTCAACAGCTTGTACCAAGCATGGATGTCAAACTGGTCATTGCCTGTCGCGGCACCGATCGGCATCGTACCGATGGCACAGATGGACATGGAGACAGGTTTCCTCTTCGTAAAACGATTATCATTGGTAGGGAGAGTGGGGAAGTTGTGGATTTGGGTCCTCCTGAACCGTGGACAAAACAGCCCCGTTTGAGACAAATCAGAGGAACTGGTCCTGCCAAAATGTCACTGTCCATTTTTGGCCATCCTGTCTCTGGAAGTGGATCTGAAGTGATTCCTTCCAATTTGCCTGACTCTGCGGTAGGTGAGCTTGTTCCAGATTGCCCGGATGGCAATGATTCATATAAATCCCCAGAAATCCAGGATCTGGAAATGGATCTAGGGGATGAATCTGGTGTCAAAGACCCTAAAAGGGAACCCAAACAACCTTTTGGGGAAGATAGCAACCCACAAATTGAGGGTTGGATTCCACGGCTTATCCCCAAGTCCGGTCCAAAGTTTTTGGGATTAGAAAAAGGGGAGCAAGAAGAGTTGCGTAGGCTTCACACCAACCTTGGGCACCCTGATCCCCAGAAGTTCAGCCGGTTTTTGATGGAAAGAGGGGCAAAGCCGGAAGTAGTTGAGGGTTCCAGAGACATGTGTTGTGATACATGTGTAGAAACGCAAAACAAACCCAAACTTGCTCAACCTGGTCGTATTCACTCAAATCTTGATTTTAATGATGTTGTTGGTGCGGATGGTGCCTATTGGCGAAACAAGGATGGAAAGGTGTTTCATTTTATGCATTTTATTGATGAGGCAACCCTATTTCATGTTGGAGCGGTGAGTGAACGCAAGGTTGAGAGTCAAATTCAAACGTATCAGGAGACCTGGGTCCAATGGGCAGGACCAAGTCGACTGCTGTATCTTGACCCTGCTGGCGAATATGTAAATGATGCATGGGCTGCACATTTGCAAGGAGATGGAACACAAGTATCCATGACCGCAGCAGCTTCTCACTGGCAAAATGGCAGGAGTGAAGCCCATGGCAAAATCGTGAAGATGATGTTGACTAGGATGGAGAAGGATGTTGACATCAGTACTGAGGGTGAGTTTGCTAGGTGTTTGAGGCAGGTGTTTGCTGCGAAAAATTCACTGTCTAGGATCAATGGCTTCACTCCTGAACAGTGCCTTCTAGGCAAATCCAGACACTTGCCAGGCTCCTTGGTCTCCGATTCAAATGCCAGTAGTCACGCCTTGGCAGACAGTGATACCCCTGAGGGTGTCAAGTTCCGCGAAGATCTCTTCCGAAGAGAAGCTGCCAGGAAAGCATATGTCCAGGCAGACAACGACTCAGCGTTTCGTCGTGCGCTGCTGCGACAAAGTCGCCCTGGAAAGATAGAACTTGAGAAAGGGGACTGGGTTCTCTACTGGCGTCAAGTAAAGGGGAACAGTAGGATAGAGCGGGGGAGATGGCATGGTCCAGCACAAGTGATAGCAGTGGAACAGAGGAGAATCGTTTGGCTGAGTCATCTTGGACGCCTCATCAGAGCCAGTCCCAATCAAGTGCGGCCAGCATCGCTTCGGGAATACATGCATCTTCCCAAAGGAGAGGATGGTCGAGTGATGGATGAAAAACCCCAAGGGAAGAACTATGTAGAGTTGGTTGGGGACCCTGAAGATGGAGACCATCATTCTCATGGGGAAGAACAAATGTCCGATGGAGGTGGTTATTCACCGGGTACTCCCATCAATTCCTCTGCAGTAGAACAACCAGAACAAGAGGATTTTCCCGGGGAGGACTCTGTGGAGGAGAATGTTGAAAATGGGGATAGTGGTTTGGCCCCTCATGAAATTCCTATTCCTGATGATGGTTCCGAGGATTCGTTGTTTGGGGATGATGTTCAAATGAAATCCTCCACAGGCGGAGTCTGGGAAATAAATTTCCACGAAACTGAATGGGAACCCGAAATAGCCGATGCTTTTTGTGCACATCCTGAAATGTTGGAACAAATCTGGTTAACCACTGGGGAGAAGAAGAAGCGTGTTGAGGTTGACTATCGTATCCAAACAAAAGAGGATCGTGCACTTTTTGATGCTGCCAAAGCAAAAGAAATCCAAGCATGGATAGACCATGGGACTGTGAAGAGGGTCACAAAGGGGACACTCAGCCCTGAACAAGTTCTACGTTGCCGATGGATTTTAACATGGAAAAATCCAGCTCCTGGGTCCACTGAACGGAGGGCAAAGGCTAGGTTGGTGGTTCTAGGTTTTGAGGATCCTGGACTCCAAACAGTGCCTAACGATGCGCCAACTTTATCAAAGGATGGAAAACAGCTGTTGTTGCAACAGGTGGCATCCAGGAGATGGAAACTCATAAATTTCGACATATCCACGGCATTTCTCAAGGGACATGGTGATGGTAGGTCTTTGGGGATACATGCACCACCAGAATTGAGGGATAAACTTGACATCAGAGGGGATGAGCAGTGTGCCTTAATGGGTGGGGCATATGGTCGTATTGACGCTCCATATCTGTGGTACAAAGCCTTTAGGGAAACCCTGGAGAATCTTGGTTTCATCACCTGTCCCCTTGATGGTTGCCTCTTCAGTTTGGTGACACCAGAGAAGGATGGAACTCCACGTGTGAGAGGAGTTCTTGGCATCCACGTAGATGATGGGATCGGGGGCGGCGATGACTATTTCCACAGTGTGTTGCAACAACTAAAAGGGATCTATGATTTTGGGGCGTACAATGAAGGGGATTTTGAATTTTGTGGGGTTAGGTATCGACAGTGGGATGATGGTACTATTGAGATGGATCAGAATGAGTACCTACGTCGTATCGAACCAGTTGAGATTCCCAAGCATAGGAGGGCTGACCCAAAATCAGATCTCACACCTGTGGAAGTACAGCAGTTGAGAAGAATTTGTGGAAGCTTGCAGTTTGCTGCAGTACATACCCGGCCCGACTTGAGTGCGAAGGTGGGACAACTCCAATCCATGGTGACGAAGGGTCAAGTACAACATCTTTTAGAAGCCAACAGGGTTCTTTTTGAGGGAAAGAAACATCCTGTTTGTCTCATGGTTGTCCCAATACCGCAACATCAAGTTACCTTCTGTTCCTTTTCGGATGCCTCCTTCTCAGGTACAAAGGATCTAGCTTCGCGTCAGGGCTCTTTGATCTTTTCAACCGATTTGCTCTTGGCAAGAAACGAGCGTACAGTAGTATGTCCCATAGCTTGGAGTTCTCGACGGATTCCACGTGTGGTGACTTCCACTTTGAGTGCTGAGGCAATTTCACTCAGCTCTGCACTGGATCGCTTAGGGTATATCAGGGTGATATGGGAGTGGTTGAAGAATCCAGCTGTTGATTGGAGTGACCCTGGAAAGATTTTGAGCAAAGCCCCACGAGCGAGCGCAGTGACAGACTGCAAATCAGTCTATGATTTGGCGACCAAGACATCGACGCCATCATGCAGCGAATACAGGACGACGCTGGAGTGTTTATTAATTCGAGAAAGACTGCAAGAAAATATTGCAATGCGTTGGATCAGTACTCAGGCAATGTTAGCTGATGCTTTGACAAAGACAATGGACTCGAGTGTCCTGAGACAGTGTTTGAAGACGGGGAAGTATTCATTGTTTGACGAAACTGAGAGTCTGAAACAACGCGCAACCAAAAGAGAACGTCTCCAGTGGATAACTAGGGATGGTCATGAGAATGCATCGAAGGTTTTCCCTGCTTAATTTTTTTTTGATTTTAGACGAGTGTGAATGTAGCATTTTGGGAACATGACCATCTTGCCATGCCACTTTTTGCGGAGACCTTGCAGTGGCCTTTCATTCATCGCGGCCGATCGCTCATCCTTTTCCAATCAAACCCAAAGAGGTGGGCGGGCAGTGGACAAGAGACCAGAGGCTACGGAGGATAACAAGGATCACTGGGTGACCCGCAACTTGGTTGGTTAGGCGATCAGGGATCCCTTGGTTACTTTATTGGGGAATATTCGCAATATGTTTATGTATATGTATATGTATATGTGTATGTATATGTATATGTCTATGTATCATTGTATATATATATATACAGACACACACACATATATATATATGTGCATATCTACATAAATGTTGGACGCGTCCTCCATTTCGGGACAAACCAATAGACCATGTTGTAGCTTATATTGCAATTTCTTATCACTATATACCCAAATATCATCATTGTTGTTACCCCCTGGTAAACTAACATAGGTATTGAAAATTGCCATTTATAGTGGATTTACCCATTAAACATGGTGATTTTCCATAGTTACGTTAGTTTACCAGAGGGTACTTGTTGGTTTCAATATCATGCCAACCATCGTTATATTTCGCAGTAGTATTGACCAACATACAAACTTAGTATCATATACCGATGAGTTTTCACAATCTACCTAAATGACCTATATGGTTGATTTTATGCTCCCATTTTTGAGCCAACATCATGAGGTCCATGTCAACGCATGTAAGATTTCCCCATATAGCGATATAGTTCCAAGAATGAACGTATAAAAGCATGAGTGATATGGGTAAAGGCAGCATTTTTTTAAAAGGTGGTTGTCAAAGGCAAATTTCAACACCAACCAACCAATTACGAGGCCTGATTTATCAATTGGTTTTTATAAAAAACGTGTTGAATCCGAAATTCTTTGTGCTAAAAACCCATCATTTCTGGTGATAATCCCTTCCCCCTAGGGGGCCACATCTTTGGGACAGGCTTGCAATGGCCGTTGGCCCTGACCTTGCTGATGGAGACCAGAGCGCAAGCGGGGCTGGTGTCTTGGTGACACCCGGTGATTTGAAGCACTTTTTGTCATAGAAAATGGCTATGTAACCAAGAAATATCACCATTTTTACAGTAGAATCTCTAGAAAAAATCATGGGACATGTCTAGTTTTTGAGGATTTTGGCTGCCTTCATAACCCGCAGGGGTACAGGTAGGTTTTGCTTGGATGATTCAAAAATGGTGACTGAGTTAGGGGGAATATAACAGAGTATGCGTGGGATGTTAACTGAATTGGATGAATATGGGTTAATTGCCAGCTGGTGTCATCAAACATGGCTGGCTGGGAAATCGCCGAACTAGCCATGGAGGTTTATAGCTGGGAAGACCCTCGAACTAAATGCCGGATTTTATGGCAAGGCATGAGCACAATGGGGATACTCGACCAACAAGAATGAAGGTATCAAAACAGTCATAATGGGGATAATATATATGTATATCTATATATATGATAATAAACGGGATGTAAGTGGGAGAATTTCATGGGAATACAAGCAACAATATGAGAGGAATTTGTCCACCACCAAGGCATGGCCGGTTTTGAAACGAGAGACAATTGGAGGTTGATTTTCCCATTGAAATGCACTGGCCTTCGGCAATCAAACATGGCTGGGAATGCCCTAGAAATGGACGCTTAAATGAGACTATCGTCTAAAAATGGCTGGCTGGGAATGCCCTCTGGTAATCTAACATAGCTATGGAAAATGGTCTGTTTGTAGATTATTCACCTAGTAAAAGTGGTGGGTTTCCATAGCTATGTTAGATCACCAGATGGTATCTAGAATCGGTGTCCATTTGCCGGTTTGTTGATGAAAAAGAGGGTTAAAGTTAACCAGCACAACCGTTAAGAGTGAATGATGCCATATCAAACCATTTTTGATGTAGGACATCTTCACGACCATGAAGCACCACTTATTTTCGGTTCGAAATGGAGGGTACAGAGTGGGTGCTTTTGCCCAGTAAGTGTAATACTAAGGGATCCTGGATCGAAGGAATATAAGATTCACGAGCCTGTGCTGATGCTCGCCGATAGAAACGGAGTTTCCCCTTTTCGCTGTTTTTCCCGCTTTCCTATGTATTTTGGATGGTACCTTTCCAATAACCGCAGAAATCCAACCTCAACCCCAGAAATGGGAATGGATTGATTGTTTAAACCAAAGCGATCCACTACTTTTCCCATTTCAGGACATTATTGTCACTCCTGGCTATTGATGTTGGTCAATCGCCCAATGCTTGCTACTATTTGTAGATGACCAGCAATCATGTTTGCCCAGTCCAAACGCATTCAATTTACCACCTGAAAATCGCCCAGTCATGGGTGGTGCTTAATATCAGATGGGATTCTCCCGTTGATGATTCGTCTATTACTATGGAAAATCCCCATTCGCAAGTAGCCCTTCTTACAGGGTCCCCCAATTTCAGGATGTCTTTTTTGGATTATGATTCTGAGAAGTCATCTTTTTTCCATCCAGATCTCAGCATTCAAAATCCATTTCAAACCATTGGTTCTAAGTTCTAACTGGTTCCACACGAAACAAAAACCCACCCCCAGAATTCCAGGTGGAGCTCCGGTCGTTCAACACCGTGATGAGCGGCTGCATCCGAGGACGGGCGGCTGGGCAATTTTCATGTGGGATCCCAGATTTCGATCTTAGGTGGATGGATTCAAGTTTTTGTTGTGTTTTTTTTATTATCGAGATATTTGAGCGGAGATGTTTTGAGCCAATAGTTCTATTTATGTGGATGTTGAAGATAAACTGAGGGGAAGTGGGATTTGATTTTTTACTTTGGAGTACTGTATTATTTAGTATTTTATACGTTGTTGTAGCCTCATTGTTTGACATTGAGGAAAAATAGTTTCGGTCCAAAACTATTGACCTCAACAATGGGATTTTGAGATGCTAAGGCGACTAGTTGTGTTCCATTGATGGTCCATTTCGTGTAAACTACACACAGAAGTTTCACAGAAATGGTGGATTTTGTCACTTAAGCATCTAGACAACCTCGAAAATTTTGAGAGCCAAAACCAGTTGGTCTCCCAGGCGCGCAGTGGTCGGTGGCTTTAGGGCTTCTACGCTGCACTGGAGACGCCACGCTGGTCCCTCGACTCAAGTTTTTTGGCCACGACCGGACCCTTGGAATGGCGGGCACTCCGAACTTGCAATCATAAGACATATGGGGTTCTGGGGTATCCAATTTTGAGACATACTGAGTTGGAATTGTTTGATCTCTGTCCGAAAGCTGCTGGCACAAGCTGGCCTCGTGCCATTTGGACCTCACCCTGTTCCATGGAAGTGGCGAAGTCGTTGGCCTCTTACACGACCCAGTTCCGAAACCCAAGCTGGGTCGGTCGTGTACAGAAAACCATTGATGTTTTCGTGTTACACTCAGTTCTCATTCTGTCGTGTGATGTTTGCACTCATTCCACCAAGCATTGGCCTTTGGACCTCCTGTGACCAAAGGCGTCTTCGGACAAGGCAAGTTCAGCTCGCAGCCGCGCAACCCTTATTTTGCAGCAGTTTGTCTATCACAATCGAGAAAGGGTGGGCGTTGGCTTCAGTCAAGTGTGCATGGTGGTGAGATGCGGTGATGCACAAGAGGCCGCTTGTTGCGAGTGTTTTGCGTGTGATGGTGGAGGGCCTTCTTGGAACCTTTTGTCCTGTCGATTCTGGCAAGGAGTCCGCAGTGTGAGAAACTTACGCTATACACTCCTTGTCAGAGTTGACAAGGCTCCCCGTGCAATGGTCGGATGTGGCCACACTCATTGACACTGACTTCTGCAATATGCACAAAAGAGACACGCAACTGAAACGCTGTGAGGCAGCAGATCAGGAGAGTGTGGCGGTGCTGTTATTTCAGAACTGAAAAGACAGAAAGTTCGACCGTGCGGTTGGTGCCCGGTGGTTCCTGCGATGGTTTCCCCTGGACCTCGCCCTGTCCCGACCCAGTTCGGGTTTTGAAACATTTCGGCTTGAAGCCGTGATGTTTCGAAACCCTAACTGGCTCGTGTACAGAAAGCCGTTGAGGTCTTCATTTTGCACTTGCTTGTCACTCAGCATGTCATGTAATGTCTTTTTTTTTTCTGCCCGCCCACCCTGCCGACAGCCACAGACTGCCTTGACCATCAGAATGCTTCTTTGGTCACAGGAGGTCCAAAGGCCACGAAACATTGGCCTTTGGACCTCCTGTGACCAAAGGCGTCTTCGGACAAGGCAAGTTCAGCTCGCAGCCGCGCAACCCTTATTTTGCAGCAGTTTGTCTATCACAATCGAGAAAGGGTGGGCGTTGGCTTCAGTCAAGTGTGCATGGTGGTGAGATGCGGTGATGCACAAGAGGCCGCTTGTTGCGAGTGTTTTGCGTGTGATGGTGGAGGGCCTTCTTGGAACCTTTTGTCCTGTCGATTCTGGCAAGGAGTCCGCAGTGTGAGAAACTTACGCTATATACTCCTTGTCAGAGTTGACAAGGCTCCCCCTGCAATGGTCGGATGTGGCCACACTCATTGACACTGACTTCTGCAATATGCACAAAAGAGACACGCAACTGAAACGCTGTGAGGCAGCAGATCAGGAGAGTGTGGCGGTGCTGTTATTTCAGAACTGAAAAGACAGAAAGTTCGACCGTGCGGTTGGTGCCCGGTGGTTCCTGCGATGGTTTCTTCCATGCATTTGGGAGTTTCTTGAAGTGGGGAACCCCAAAATGATTTCAAATGATCAAACCTTATCCACCATTTTGTTATTTGACATTATTTTTCATGGGGAAACCAGGACACTTGACACCAATAGTTTTGGAATGGCCAGGATTCCTGAAAAAATCAGGATAGCTGCAATAGGGCCGGCTTGGCTGGAACAATCGCAGCAAAAAGGGCGCCTCAAGATGCCCTGGCAGTGGCTGAATTGCTCCCCTTGGATGGTCAAAACCGGGATAAAAATGGACCTATAAAAGTTTCATCTTTGGTCATTTTCAGCATTAAACACTCCGTTTTGATATTTTTTATGGGTTTGTCATTTGGACCATTGATTGAACATGATTTGGCCAACTCCTTGATCCCTCTCGACTATAGCATTTTTGTTAAGTTTTTCGCCTTGTTTTTAGCCGTGCTTGGGCCTGTCTTTTGAGGCCAGAAACCGGCTGTATGATGGCAGCAGGTTGATGACTGCTGAAATCGTGGGCCCAGCAAAAAGTTTCCATAGTGACTGCCGCGGTAGTCGTTTCAAAATTTCACCCCCCGAATTTGGGGTTTGAGATTTTAGATTTGATTTGCTGAGCCCCTTTATCGTTGGTGAATCCTAATAAGTTAGAAATCATCAACTTGTGATAAGTGATAACCGCACTTTTTTCTGCTTCATATCCTCCACATTTGCCGATCATCTCCCCATTCTTCAGTGCATATATATATATATTATAATATACCAGTAGTACCCTGCACGAGGCGGGGCGGAAGCTGCCTTAGGGTTATACTGTAAGACGTTTCTCATCTATAGAACTTGCATGCGCCGTGCGCCAGCCAGGCCCGTGCGCGTGTGCTTTGTGCGAACCTGTTGCATTGTTGTTGTCCAAGAACATGACCTGCGCGCCGCCCCGGTGCAATGCAACGCCAAGCGAACACTTTCTTCACACTTCACAGTGCACGCTTCACACCCCACACTTCGCACTTGCACTTCACACTCCACACTTCATCTCATCTCAAATCATGTGATCTCTTCTCACCTCATCTCAGCTCTTCTCACATGTCACCTAAGTAAGTTCTTCTCTACTGTTTTCATCTTGTGCGAGCACTGATCAACCTTTCTCATCTCCTCGAAGTTCGGCTCAACTCATCTCAGCTGTTCTGCATGCCAGAAAGCTCTTACTGTCGGAGAGAAGTCTCCTGCAAAAAAGACCGCTGGGCGCAGACAGTTTTTGCACACAGATGCTTGAGACACAGATGCATTTACACAGAAAAGCCTTTCCAAAAAACTTTGTACTACAAAGCTTGCACAAAGCACTTCCCAGTACTACCTTGTACTGCAAAGCTTGCACAAAGTACTCCCCGATACTACTTTGTACTACAAAGCTTGCAAAGCACTTCCCAGTACTACTTTGTACTACGAAGCTTGCACAAAGCACTTCCCAGTATATACTACTTTGAACTACAAAGCTTGCACAAAGTACTGCCCAGTACCACTTTGTACCACAAGACTTGCGCAAAGCACTTTCCAGTACTACTTTGTACTGCAAGACTTGCACAAAGCACTTCCTAGTACTACTTTGTACTACAAAGCTTGCACAAAGCACTTCCCAGTACTACTTTGTAATACCAAGCTTCCACAAAAGCAAGCTTTTACACAAAGAAGTTTTTACACAGAGAAACTTTCTAGTACATACTGACAACAGACATTGCAGCTCCAAAACCGGATCCCGGCGCCAAAGTGAAAAAAACATTGAAGCACTTTTTAAAAAGAATTTTAAAGGAAAATTCCCAGCACCATAATTGACAAAAACCTGCTGACAAATCACAATCGCAGCCTTGATGCAGCCACTCAATTACGATTTACAATTTACAATGATCAGCTGCAAAAACACTAGTATTATGCATGCAGCCGCGGCACCAAGCAACCTTGACGCAGCCATTACAACGGGATATCGAGATATGGCAAAACACAATAGAACGCAATGGGACAGTGCGATCTGCAACCACAGGCGCCAAAACACCCTCTAACTACGCACACATGAACAACCGCTTTTCCCCAACACCAGCCCCATGCAACATTCATGCAGCCATTACAATGCGTTTCGCAACCATGGCTCCCAAAGCACCATTTAACTGCGAAGGGCAGAAACACGCAAAACACATCGAACCAGCACCTGCACTGCGAACTGCGCCGAGCCCAGCCCGCACCCACCGCACACAGGATGTACCTTCCATCGCCGGCTACAGCCACTTTACGCGGAAAAACGCAAGGTTTCGTGCTCCGGCTTTCTCCCCAACACAAGCCCCATGCAACATTCATGCAGCCATTACAATGTGTTTCGCAACCAAGTTTCGAAAGCACCATGTAATTGCGAAGCGCAGAAACAGGTTCCCACGGAAAAACACGAGGTTTCGTGGTCCGGCTTCCTCCCCAACACAAGCCCCATGCAACATTCATGCAGCCATTAATTACATTGCGTTTTGCAACACCACGCGCACATTCATGCAGCCATTACGTTGCCACTTCCCAAAGTCACCATTTTCCTGGGTCAACACTTCTCTTAATCACCACTTCCAACAGTCACCACACTCCCTTCGTCACCACTTCCCTTCGTCACCGCTCCCAAGTCACCACTTCCCTAGGTCAACACTTCCCTAACATCCTGGCTTAACTTATGCACTATTCACAATAATATATCCCCATGTTTTCTGCTTCAGATGATGTCTCATTTTCGACCTTTCCCCTGTGAGTTTTGGCTCGGTCATGCTCGGTCTAGGATTGGATGTCCAATCTCATTGCAAGGATATTGCAGGAGACATACCACCAAGATTCACCAAAGAAAGCAGAGAAAGGCGTATACAGATAGATATATATATATATATAACGCTATTATATATGCATATATATATATATGTTGATTTCTATCAATTCATTATATGATATTATATGGAATCGTATTCACTTATGTAATCAGTCAGCACCATCAAACCTATACACAAGGACTGGAGTTGCCCCAGGATAGACAGGGCTTGCCTCACGACTTGAGATCATTATCGGCTTTTAAATTCCGTATATAGTCATATTTGAACAAACTCCTCAACAACAAAGGGGTGCATGACCAGCCGGGACATTTCCTGGCTGCCTAAGTGCTGCTTTGGGCCATGGGAGCCAGCGCATGCAGCCGGGCCCGTGTCGAAACCGTGAACAGCAAGGATGTGGAGATCAAGGATGGGCAGGGCAAGGTTCTTCGATGCATCAGTCTCGCGACAAAAAGGCCTGACTTCCTGGCAGATGCAATCCCCTGTGCCACCAGGAGCTTGCAGGGTTCCGACCCAACCCAATGGGCCATGACAAATGTCCAGCTGCTCGAATTGTTCAACTACATGCAATCCACAGAAGAATATAAAGCTGCCAAGGAAGCCCGAGGACATGTTTGCCTCTATGACGTGAACAGCCTTTTCGTGATCCCTTGGTCCAGAGGCTTCGGCTGTGGTGTGGCGCTCCTTATGAATGCCCAAGGAGTTAGTCAGCTCTTTGTCCTCTTGGGCATCCCGAATTCAACCGCTCTGGGATTGCTATGGGGTGGCGCTTTGGTGCTGCACCTTTGCCCAATATCAGCCAGAGGATGGTGCCGGACCCTCTCTCCAACACCAGCTGAGTTTGGATCCCTTCAAGAGTGTTATTCACTCCAAGCCCGAGCATGGCATGCTGGTGGTCCACACTACCAAGGCCGATCCTTACGATCGATTGTGGTGTGTGCATGAAGTTGACGAAGCTCTGGAATCGAAGTTGTTTGTCATAGCGATCGGCACCTACTATCTGGGTGGACGAGCTGTATGCACTCGCAGAGCGAAGTGCGGACATGCGGCTGATGAGGCGCGGATCCGAGCGGTCATCGAAAGCAAAGATGGGGGCTATGAGCGTTTGGACAGGGCCATCAAGGCCTTCCGAAACACACTGTTGAAGAGTGGTGTCTCAGTGATTGCAGATGTTCAAGTACCATGGCACCTCTATGACGGTCGCCACTTGAAATTCGACTCCGAGAACCTTGGACTGAAAGAGGTCTTCTCCGAGCTCGAGGGGTTCGGCGTGGAGCGGAAGGAATTGTTTAGCCTGTTTACCTTGACAGACAGCGATGGCCACAAGATTCCGGTTGAGGTGGATGAGGCGTTTGATATTTATCTGGATGGGTTATTTTTTCCCATCATGCCCAAGCAGCCTCTGGCGCGGCAGCAGTTCCCTCTCAAGTTGGCATGTGCATTAGATGCGCGCTATCGACGCCGAAGATCCCAAAATGAAATTGCATCCGGCAGCAGCAGCAGCTACACCACAGAAAATGTTTTTGACTCGAATTTATATAGTAGGGTGTCAATAAATGAGGTGAATAAGATGAAGCTGCAGCATCAGGTTCTGTGTGGACAGTGGACACCACGCGCTCTTCAAGCAAATCAGGGAGACCGGGTTGCAAAAGAAATCCTTGAGATTCTTCGCGATACCGCCTTGAATGCTGACTTGTACCGATGGGATTTTCGCCAAAGGGACTTGTCACATTTCGGCGTGTTCCTGAGGGGCCCAGAGGGCACACCCTACGAGAGTGGTTGGTTTGCAGCTGGGTTTGACATTCCAGTTGACTACCCATTCCGTCCGCCCAAGTTCAAGATCTTCACCAAAATCCTTCATCCAAATATTGGAGCGGAAAGTGGGGAGGTGTGCCTTGATATTTTGTCCGCCGAGTACTGGACCCCCGCGCTGCGTTTGGGCAAGTTGCTGCTGTCGGTCGTGGCCTTGCTTGCGGCACCAGAGCCCCACGATCCCATGAACGTTGAAGCTGCTGCTCTTCAATTGCGCCACCCAGAGCTCTTCGCAGAAAAGGCAAGACTCTGGACTCGGACATATGCCTTGCCAGAGCCACCGAGCTTTCGGGACCTAGGCATTGGCACATTGTGGTCGTTGTGATCCAGAGCTACAGTAAGTTTCACAGAAAGGTCCTAGAAGGTCCAGATATTATGTAAAGAATTTTCTGGAATGTATAGAATGTTCTGGAACGTATAGAATTGTACGGAATTTCCTCGCCAGCTGCTTAGAGGTGGTCACAAGAACCAAGGCGTACCTTAAGCGGCTCTTTGAAAACCATCAGAATTCAATAGAGAGTTGAGTCTTGGAATCAGAAGAAACCGAGCACAGAGCCATGCCATGCCTGAACCTGGAAAAATGGCCATTGAGATTAAATCCAAAGCTGAACCTTGGTAATGTTCTGCCACAAGTTTTCTAAAGTTGGCCTAAAAGGCATAGATTAAGAATGCCTAAGATTGCGGGAATTACTGTGTATATAGTATAGAAATATATGTAAATATATGGGGAACGAAGAGCAACACTTTGGAAATCACATGGGTGACTCTCACAAGCTTTCGTTGGGAGGAACTGCTGACCTGCGAAGCGATCTTAGATACCATGAAATTGAACATCCACAGCGGCATATTTATACAGTGCTTCTGTCACGAACAAATCCTTTCCAGTGTTCTTGTCATTACCTTCAGTCTATCCCTTGGGTCCACGCACTCATATGTCTGGGTAAAGCCATCCGATGTGATCCTTTGTCCAGCTGATCCCTGGATACACATTGCAGATTTACCTTCGTCACCACTTCCCAGGTCTCCACTCCGCTTCGTCCCTTCGTCACCACTTCCTTAGGTCATCACTTCCAAAAGTCCACACACCACCCTGCGTGGATGTATTGTTTTGTCATGTGAGATACCACAATTCTATCTAAGTCCCCGCACCACCCTGCGTGGATGTATTGTTTTGTATCACAATTCTATCTAAGTCCCCACACCACCCTGGGTGGATGTATTGTTTTGTTTTGTGATGTAAGCTATCACAATTCTATCTAAGTCCCACACCACCCTGCGTGGATGTATTGTTTTGTGATGTAAGATATTACAATTCTATCTAAGTGCCCACACCACCCTGCGTGGATGTATTGTTTTGTGATGTCAGATATCACAATTCTATCTAAGTCCCCGCACCACCCTGCGTGGATGTATTGTTTTGTCATGTAAGATATCACAATTCTATCTAAGTCCCCACACCACCCTGCGTGGATGTATTGTTTTGTGATGTAAGATATCACAATTCTATCTAAGTCCCCACACCACCCTGCGTGGGTGTATTGTTTTGTGATGTAAGCTATCACAATTCTATCTAATTCCCCATACCACCCTGCGTTTTGTGATGTAAGATATTACAATTCTATCTAAGTCCCCATACCACCCTGGGTGGATGTATTGTTTTGTGATGTAAGGTATCACAATTCTTTTTGTCCGTAACTGGGAAGATTACTTCCCAACTTCCTTTGACAAAGTGTCTGAAAATCGACTATCCCCCAAATCCCATGTTTTTTTCATCATTTTCCTAATTGAACTGGTTGTTTCGGCTATCGCCCCATATGTTCTGGGCCCTTTCGAGGTCACCTACAATAGCGCCATTGCCGCGGCCGACCATGCGGAGCAATGGGAGGTGACCGTTCCAGGGAAAGTCCGGACGTGGGCACAAAAATCTACATTCAATGCCGTGCAGCAACCCAGTTTTTTTTTTTCGAACCTGGGTTTGTTTAGTCGGCTGGGCTGATTTTCCCACTTGGAGCATCCACCAGAAATGGACAATCGATTAAGGGAGTCATTCTTGATTTTCAAACGCAAAAACGCAAATCCAAGTAAAGATTGCGTTTGAATCAATCAAATTTGGGGGTATTGTCAACCCCAGATCAACAAAGTATGATTTACTGTTTGCGTCTCCGAAAACGATAACTTTTTTTGTGATAATTCGCTGCCCATGTGGGCCTTTCCCCATAGGCACACCACGATTTGGCACAAGATCTTGTCATCGGCATTTGTTACAACATCGACCCAGTATTCGTCGGTGTTTGTATAAATCTTGCACAACAGAGCGAGCCACAAATGCCTACCCAATCGGAGCTACATCATCACCGCTTGCCTAACTGTCCAAGGACAACAGGACACCATTCAGTGATGTACAAATTCCATTATTACAAAGCTAAAACTCCCAAAACACAAGGGAATAGCTACAACCATCTGCATGGTATCCATGAAAAACTCACGATAAACCATCAATAGGAGAAAACACAAACATGATAACACAAACTGGACGCAACATCGCACCGACTACCAGAAATTCTCCCCCACCTAGGACGCACATTTCATTGAAACGTTTTGACTTCCACAACTTAGAGTACCCAGACCCCTCGCAGCCAAAGGGTGTAGACCAGGTAGCTATGGAGCTGCTGGCTGAAATGCATGGCCTCATGGCGTCAAGTGCAATTCCTCCGGTCGCAGCAAAGGGAGGATGATTTAGACATGGGCAATTCCTCCTAAACCTTGACTCCATGGAACTGGGAATATCTGAGACATCTTCGGGGAATACTTAGTATATATATATATACATACATATTATACACTTAAAAGGAACAGGAACTAAAGATTCAAATCCTAGCTTTGAACGCGGATCCAGAAAGATCCTTGCAGCGAATGGTGGTTGCAGGTCTCTAGGGGTTGCTGGTGGGGACTTTCCAAGGTTCACCCAACCAAGGGTACCCCCAAGATCCAGAGGTCTCCAATATATCTCTGTTGCAATGGCCGTTGGGAGGAAAGTACCCCGCAGATCCATCCATGGATCAAAGCCTTTGAAATACCACGTATTTTTCTTTGGCTCCACATAAATCCCAGTGATTTTCATGTGAACCCCCAAGACTCAGATCGCCACATGGTTCTTTGAGATACCCGGAGCGGCAATCAAACATAGAACATGGCTAGCTGGAGATGATTTCCGCGAACTATAGATACTTTATCTCCATCTTTTTGTTGGTGGATTTTCACGCCCCGTTTTTTTCGCAAACCGACCCGGTGTTTCAAGACTCCCTGAAGGTCGGCAACTTCGAAGTGACTTCATCACCTTCAACTGCTCAGCATCGAGTCTGGGGAGGCGAGGTGAATTCATGGGTTTCAGCTTTCTGAGAAAGAAAACAATATATATATATATAAATGGCCCAGCGTTTGGTGGTCCCCCCCTCCCCCCCACCGAGATGGTGATGGTCCCTATATGTATGTGTAAGTTATAAGTTATATAGATACATAGATACAAAGAGACAAAGATACATAGATACATAGATAGATAGATAGATAGATAGATACATACATTACATTACATTACATTACATTTACATTTACATTTACATTTACATTTACATTACATTACATTACATTACATTACATACATACATACATACACGTGTGTGTATACGTATGTACCAGTAGTATGTGTATGTGCAAATGTATACAGTATGTATATGTATTTGTATATGTGTATGTATGCAAATGTCTATGTATCCCTCCCCCCTGTGGATGTGGTGAGGGATTTAACTGCTAACAATGTGATTAGGTGCATATATAACATTATAAAACCAATCATGATCTGGTTGGTGGTTTCAACCATATATCCATATATTATTCTATGTTCAAGGCCAGAAATGGGGGGGATAATCCCCAACTGATCGTCAGATCTTTTGCTGTTAATGCCCTGAGATCATAGATTCATAGAATTCCTTTTCCCACTGATTGGTACATTAATATAAAGTGGCACCACAATTTTGAACAAACAAGAGTCAACTGGTAAATGATGGTAGGTATAAGAGTGACAAACTATGATGGCAATTTTTTGGTAAACCAATGGATCCGATCATCAATTTGGGCCCCAAATCTGTCATTGATACACCATTTACCATCATTTACCATCATTTACCATCATTTACCATCATTTACCACCATTCCTATAGCAAATGATAGCCATGATGTCCCTTCACTGCAGGTCAGCGGCTCGATGGCAGTCTATCCTGGCCTCTGTGGAAGCAAAGCTGGGAGAGTCCACCGGCACCGGCGCCACGGGCCTGTGGGGTCCCCAGATGACTAACATAGCCATGGAAAATCCCAACCATAAATGGAGGTTGATGTCGCTGGGAAAATCATCTATGGGCCATCTATACCATGGCTATGTTAAATAACCAGAGGCTAGTTCTCTAGGTAGTTGATGGTAGTTGTATCATGTGTCCAACTGCTTTCATCTGGCAGTGATAATTTTTAACCATAGTCACGAACCTATCAGATTCGGTTAGCAAGTGAACCATCGCAGTTTTTGCGACCTGAAAGAAGTGGGATTCAAAGGTTCACTTTGGATGGCCTGGGAAGTTGACTGCATCCCTACATGCAGAGCTTGCTTTGGAATGAGAATTCCTGTGACCTTCAAAGTTTGTGAGGCGGGTCTATTTAATCTACTGTAAATCTGGTCCAAGATGACTTGAAGGTGACTCAGTATCACTCCTCCAGAATCCTTTGAAGCCATGGAACAGTTGAATCAATGGGAAAAGAGAAGGAACTTTCGCCATCGTGACTAGAAACTCAGCAGCAGACACATCCAAATGGTCAGAAATCCTCATACTTCCTCACTTTGAGGGGTTGAATTGGGTTCAGCATCACTCTGAAATAGAAAAGTTGGCGCTTCAAAATTCACGTCTCTATAGAGGGAGTACAGCAAGCAACCCGCTGACCATCAAGTTTCAAGCTGCACACTTGACCATTTCACTGTAGGAGACTGCTGGCCGAATCCTACCTGAGGCGCACCTGAACCCCCGTAGCCATGGGTTTCCTGCCTGATGAGAGCGCTATTTCAGTGACATCTTCCAACGATCGCTGTTTGAAATCCCCGACTCCCCATAAGCTCAGATGCCCCAAGTTTTGGAGCACTAAAGTCCGCACCAGGGCCGGTTGTGCTGCAGCGGTGTGTGCACTAGCGCCGCTGCCCCTTGGACTTACGGTACTCCTGGCTTCATGGTATCCATGACTCCCCTGGATTTGTTCCCCTGCAACCAAACCTGAAAGCCGGAAAAGAATGCGAAAACACACGATTTTGTTCTTTGTTGCGTTCCTGACCATTTTAGGCTTTCCAGGCCTTCGATGCCTAGGGCCGCCAACTGACCTCAGTGGTTTTGCGCATCTGAGGTTAAAACGTTGCGCTGGAAAGCTCTTGCGCGCTGCCAGCCCCTCCCCTGACTCGAGTGCAAGAGAGGCGGCTGGGATTCCAAGATGACCATTGGAACCATTGGCCATTGGCCATGCATGAAGAGCCTGGGGATGAGTGGGGAGAACCCCCGTGGGTGTTTTTGTATGAAACGAACTCTCACCCTTCATTTTTGTTCAATATTTTTTGCAATGGGTAGTAAGTCACAGGCCCACATTTTTCAATCTTTTCCAATGAAACATCCTCGTCACCGTGTTTCTTTTCCCCCCATGTTTGGAGGTTCCCTCAATTTTTGATCGCAAGAGTATGTCAACATTCCACCCTACTTGTTGTTGAATATCAATGGCACGTCTATTCATCTGAAAAATCACACAGAAGGTCTGGTTCGATATATCCTCCTGACAACAAACATAGACAGACTTTCCTCTAAAGAAGGGTGATTCTGTGTGATTCTCAGAGTCAAAACAATAGTTGAGGGAATGATAGACATGGAAAACCAACTGGGAAACCCAATGATCAATCTTCATGGTGGATTTTCCATATCGTTTTTGTGAAAAGTTTCTGGATGGCAAATGGTGGTACTTTATGTCATTATCTCCATTTTTGACATAGCTGTATTCCCATCTATCCACTGGCTGTGAACGGGAGGCACCAATGCGACTTTCATGATCTTCCATCATATAAACCATCGTAGTCTCCGATTTTTCGGAGGAGTATTTCCCCATATTGCACCCATATTTAAGTGGTCCTATCATTACGGCCAGGTCTCCCATGATATATCCCCCATCTCCAGTAGAAGCATCTGCAGGAATCACATCCAGTGGCCACCCCGCTGGAGCTGCTGGGGAGCTTGGGCTCAAGCCAGCTCTGGCCGCTGCTGTCCCGACGGCTGTTGAGGCCGGAGGTTTTTAAGGGGCCCTTTTTTAAAAAGATTTCTGGGAAGCTGCTGTTTTGTTGGATTTTGAATAGGGTTTTTACGGAACTCCTTCCGATATTTTTCTGGTGGAGTTTTTTTTTGGATGTGTTTTTTTGTGGAGTTTGTTACAGAACATGTCAGGTCTTTTCTCAAGATGGGTTCTGGATGCCACAACTCTGGGCCACTGGATCCAAGTAGATCTGGAGGATCTGGCGGACTGGCTCAGGCCCATTTTGCCGACCTACAAAGCCCTGGCGAAGGGATTTCACGGAGACAGGCGCGGCAGCTCAGAATCTGGGTTAATTTTTATGACTTGGAGATGGTTTGGAATTGAGACATGACCAACATCTCTGGTTGTTCAATCTTTCAGGGTCTCGAATTTTGATTCACCCAACTTCTTCCGGGGCAGATGGCTTCACCAACTGACCTTCCAGGCTGGAGCTTTTGAGACATCCAAGCTTAGAGGCTGTGCTGCAAGTCTGTCGGGTCTGTGGCCTGGTAGTTCCCCCTTTCTTCGGCATGGGATGGTGGTGGGACCACCATCCATGGTCCATTCTGGTCATCCCTTCTCCCTCAACGCTCATCCCTTCTCGCCCAAGGACAGCTTTGGCCTGGGAGGCCGGACGTGCCGAGAACTGCTGAGTAGCCTGTGCCTGGAAAAGCGGAGCGACCTGCCGGGCTGGACCTGGACCTGCCTGGAACATGTTGGTGTCCCATAGGGAAACTGCCCAGTGTGAATCAGTTACTGACTCTAATTGAAATCCCAGTATTTCGGTGGAGGTCAATCCCACTGCCAAGTGGGAATGAAACATTCTTGATGGGGGGTTCTCTGAATATCTGGGGTGCTGCTTCTGGGGGAATAGCCCAGATTGAGTTTGACGAGTCATTGGAATCCGGATGTTGGAGGGGTGAGGACCCCTGACTTGATTGAAAGCCTTTGCAACTGCCTCACCTGAGACTCTGCAGGACTTTCCCCTTTCGAGTGGCTTTTTCAGTGGCGAGGCCGTCTTCCTGTCGGATGTTTGGACCGACAAACCAACTGTAACTTGAGCAGGACTGCCCGGAACATCATGTTAACAGGCTTCAAAATCCTGGGATTTGTGGGGATTGCAAGTGTTGCATCCAACATACGGGCTTTGATGGAGCGTTTTTGGGGTACCTGGGAGATACAGGTTCCCTATGTCTGCAAACTTAGTGACCTTGGCAGACTTGGCAGGTCCGAAGTGTAAGTTGTCCCGATGCCACCAATGTGGTTCGGAGGTGAAGCACCGCTGGTGCCAGGTGTCTGAACTCCGACCAAGTACGGCAGGCCTGAACCGGTGCTGGGTGGTTGGTCTTAAGTCGTGGCTGATGGTCACTGGTTTGGAGGATGCTTTTGGCCAGATGCACTTTGTTGGCATGAAGGTTTGATGTATTCAGTTCATTCAACCTGGAGTGAATGCAAAGTTTAGTGAAACTGCGGTTAGTTGACTTTGCTGATACGAGGATTGCGAGACTTGTTGCCAAAGGGTCCAAAGCGTCATCTTTTCGGTGCAGCTTTGCTCAAAGCATTTTGCAAGTGTCTGCCCGGCCTCGCCTCCAACTCCCTTGGGCACCATGGCCTACCAGTACCCCGCCGAGCCCGGTGCCGCAGCACCCATCATGACCGTCCCTGCGGGAACCGGCGCGCCCATCACGACCATGGGCGCCATGCCAGCCTACACCCCGGCCACCACCACCGGAGTTCCCATCATGTCCTCCTCAGCAGCTGCGGCGGCACCCGTCATCAGCAGCTATGGTGGCTATGGCTATGGCGGCTACACCATCCCATCCGCCTTGGACCACTCCCAGGGCAAGTGGTTCATGCCCGGTGAGGCCTTGCCCCCCGGCTACGTGGTCACCGCACACCCGGAAGGCGGGTTTAAAGTGGTGATTTTTTTTGGGCCTCACAGTAACTGGAAAGCAGTGGGCCGAATAGTTGGTTTTTTGACCTATCATTTTCAATGCCAATGCTGGATTGGTAACTTAGGGTGTATAGGATCTTGACATCCATGATTTTCATTTCATTTTCAGTTTTTGTTTGGGACAACCCCCAAATCAATCAGCCAGAGTTTCCAGTGATCGCATTCTGGGCAAGAACTCACCCTGGAACTCAAGGGGTTCGGGATATCCCAAAGTGGCATTTTTTTTGCGAAGGTTTTCAACCTTTCGCCCCAAAATGGGGGTTTCCTAAAATGCGGGTCCCCCAAATCATTCATTTTCATGGGATTTTCCATGGAGGAAACCTCCAAAAAATGCTGTTGTTCACCCCTGGACCAGGACACACCGCACCCCAGTCCCATCATGCCATGTCCGACATGGCGCGTGACAGCTTCGTGGTCACCACCGGAACGGAGGTGAAGGCTTCGGCCTCCGCGGGGCCGAAGAAAGCCAAGAAGTCCAAGATGCTCGGTGGCAGGGAACAGCACCATGGGATAGATCGAAAGCTGGGCTGAAAATCTCGAAAAATCTCGGAAAATTGGGGTTGATCGAAATCTATATTAAGCTCTGATGATATTTAAGAATATACTGGAACATAGTATGATAGCCATCTGTTTTTTACACCAAAAAAATGGATTGGATGGTTGAATAACGTTGAATAGCCAAAATGGATGAAAAGGACCAAACAACCTGCGATCACTGATGAACAGCTCCTAGGTGTGGGATGAAGTCGCACGTGTTTGTGATCAGGGATGATTAAGACGGGCAGAGCCGCTACCTTGACGCAAGTCGCCTTACCAAAAACAAGAACCATCTTCACATCTCAAAAGAGGAGCTTTCAACTTGAGGTTGTGAGGAACTTCTAGGTCAAAAATTTGAGACTGGCCCAAACTCAATGACCAAGGAAGAAGAAGAGCTCCGGATGCTGCTAAGTCGTGACCTGAGATCGGAGGATAGTCGGCAGATCTCTAAAACTCTGAGATGTGGGATTGGCTCAAGATGTGTTGAACATCACTGAAGATTGCAGTGTTTTTTTAAACAACAAACAGACCAACCCAACTCTTTTTGGGACATTTGGTACCCAGTTTCTTGTTTGAGCCATGCCCATCTATAAACTTCTTATCGGTTGATTTCTCCTCTTGACATCGTGTAATGCGCTGGTCAACCTGAGGATATTTTGCAGCGGATCTTGGAAAAAGATCACAGTGCCATGCAGCATGTTTTCCTCAGTTCGCGATCATAGATGGCCATGCATTGGATGACATGTGTGGAAAATCACCATATTTGAATATATTTGATAGGTAAATATCCCGTTTTAAATCCCCATATTTTTCATCTATACATGGATACATGGGCAATTTTCATTCATTTTTCATAGCTGCGTGAAATCTGAAATAACCAGTGGGTATTCCTTTCATGTCTGTTTCAGTCAGGACTTCTGACCTATTCTGACCGAAAAAATCATCTGATGGAAAAAAGCCTCCTCCAAGCAGTGGAGTCGAGCCATGCAGATCTCCATGTTGGCGGATCTGAATGATTTTTTTGTATGATACCATCATAACATCATTAACGTTTCATAGATTCTACAATATTTACATATAAAAAACCTGGTTGGTGGTGACTGGAACATTTGGATTATTTTTCCATATATTTTTGGAATAATCATCCCAACTGACTCTCAAATTTTTCAGAGGGGTTGAAACCACCAACCAGATGTATATATATTTTTATACCACAATATATAATATATCTTTCCTCGCCAGTCGCGGTTGTCCGAGAATGTGACGATCAATCTTCAAAGAAATTCCCAGTTGGCGCTTATCTTTCCGGTTCACCACATAAAGCATTCATGTTAGTAAAACAATTCTCATAACCCATGTAAATTCATGGTTTATACCACTATATAGATTGGTTTAAGGGAAAACTTTCGGCGAAGCCTTCTGTGTCAGGCGGCGTCCCAAGTCGACCTGGCACGAGACAAAGTGCTCGGCACCGGGAGGCGATGTTCAGAGGGGTTTCCATAGTCATGGGGGATCCCCAATAGCTGGTTTAATTTCAACCCCGGATGAGAGTAAACCATGGTTTATTAATCAGCGGGGTACTCCTCCAATAGTCATAATCTAATACTTAAATGGTACCCTCCCAATTAAACAGCCGTTTGGGGTTTATTAATCCAGGGTTGACACTATAATGTGGCGAAAACAATTGCATAAGCCACCCATGACTGGGAATGGTAAAAGTACATACCACCTATAAAAATGGTGATGACTGGGGGAATGTTTATTATTGTTTTACCCACATTAATGGAAAACCCTACTAAAATGGATGATAACTGGGAGTACCCCTATTTGAGGAACCCACCCATTTGTGTCTTATACAGGGTACCATTTTGTAGCTATCTTTAAATACCCCTCCAAGAACACCAAGAAGCAGCAACAATCATTTTCCTCCAAGGTACAATTCAGCAGCTGAAGGGGGGCAGTGCGAAGAGTTTCTGCAGCTTTCAATCGGAATCTTGAAAAAAGAAACGTTACTTCAGCCTTTGATGTTTGATTGATCTGAACACTTGGTCCTCCAGAGATACGTTATACATACCAGAAAATTTGAAAGCATGACTCAAAGTGCTTGACCCCATTTTTGGAAAAGTTTCAGATCCTACAAATGACAAACATCACTTGCGATGATAGCCGTCTTTTGCGTTGTGTTGCGCAACAGGCACACATTTTTTCAGTGCGCCTCAAGAAATGGGTAGGGCTCAAGACTGAGAAGGTTTAAGGACGAAAACTGATTTGTTTGTCCAGGTACAGTCAGCCTTGACAGGCGGTGTCACCAGATTACCAGTTGGTTTATAACCCCAACTACTCGTTGCACTAACCCCAGCTAACTAGTTGCAGTGATATCTACCGGCCGAAAGAGTTCACCGGTTCACCTTTGTCCCACCTTAGCTCACTGTTTTTTCAACGATTTTTTTCACTACAAAACCCCATTGTTTTGTTGGTTAAATATCAACTTATCGGGTCAGCCATTGTTGCGGTTTTTTCCTGTAGACTCGGAGGCACAACTGAAGTTGCAGGAGGCCAAAGGAGACCTGGATTTGCAGGACGAAACTCAGGGCCACGCTGGGACATCCCCTGAAAAATGGAGATGTTCATGGGAAAATCATAGGAATTTTTGTGGGAATATATGGGAATATATGGGAACATCCCTGAAAGTTCATGGGACATAAAAATATGAAAATTCATGGGACCAAATGACCAAATGGAGTATTTTCCTGCAAGCCATGTTTGATGACACCGGGTAGTGGGACGAATGGTAAAGGTTTCAAAGATGGAACTGGCGAAAGAGAATCAGGCTCCGGCTGGTTTGGTCTACTTCCAACAAGGCTGAGGGTAGGGATTGCGATTGGAACTTCTGCATAGCCCAGTCTTTTGGAAGATCTCGCCCTCTTTTGGGTGGGGATAGATCATGCCGTGGGAGATTGGAATCAAACACTGCTTCGCTGCTTCGGTTGACATCCGAAATGGGCCAAACACTGGGACCCAACGGGCCTTTTTTATACAGGAAGAGAATGATGAAACGATCATTTCCGTGGCGCAGAAAGAGCAGCTGAAGCAGGACCTTTTTTTCAAAAAGTGGCGGATGGCGTGGGATGGGAAACCGTTCCTTAAAATAGGCCAAGAAAGATCGGGATTCAACATGTCTGAAAAACTGAACATTTAGGGAAACGCCGTGATTTGATGATTTATATATCAGCATCTTCCATGTTAGAAATTACCATTGTCTGGGTATATTTCATTTATAGACACACCGAAGTCAAATTTCATGTTGCTTTGACCCGCAGCTTGCCACTGACTGGAGGGTGACAGGAGGGCCTTTTGGTGGGGATTCCGTTCATAAGGAATTTGCCTCACCGTAAGTCTATCGTCAAGCTCGACAGGGCTGACCCATTGGGAGGAACATGTGACGGACTGAAGAGTTGCAGCGCAGCCGGATACTCACTGAATAAGGATGAAACCTAGTGACCCATTTTTAGATTGACTATAGGTTTCATCCTTATTCATTATTATTATAGATAGATACTCGCCAGGGTCTTCACTTCTGACTTTCCACCATTTATAGATCACTTGCCCAGCGAAACCTCCGTGTTGATGGGGGATTTCCCTTTCCCCACCTTTACCTTTGGCACCGTGGGCCAACGGCCTGGCAGGAATACTGGCAAGAATACAACGAGGTCGGGACGCAAACCTTGACCCCACATCTGGATTCACTGGACATATGGGGTTTCCAGATTTTTCCCATGGGAAAAATCCAATGAAAACAGTCCATATTTTTTTCTCCAGACACCAAGCTAAAAATTGATATTTTCCAGATTTTTATATGTTACAGAACTATAGACTATAGATATCTGAGATATCTATTTGAATATCTTCCTTAAAAAATCCCCAAGATTTTCCGTCAGCACCAGAGCTGTAAAAAATATCTCGACTGTCCGAGGCAGGTAGCGCCAAGAAGACCTTGAGCGAGTTCGAGGAGTTGGGTCAGCTCAGAGATAGACCACCTCCTCCTGGGGTGGATCATATCTGCTTGGTGGTGACTGCAACCATGGAATGGATTATGACTTTCCCATGATATTGGGAATGTGCAGAATGTCATGACCCCAACTGACGAAGTCCATCATTTTTCAGAGGGGTGGGTTGAAACCACCAACCAGATATATATGAAGGAGATTGATTAATTTTTCTGAAGGTAGTTTTTTCTGTGCTACTGAATTGGGTCATTTTATCTATGCTTCCATGATGTTGGCATTTCACAATGCCATGTTCTGCTTGGTCAATAGCTATGGAAATCCATGGATTTCTTGTGAGAGGACTTCGCTGGTGGATTTTCCGATCATCGTTGTGTTTTGTACATCTACTGGAGGGTACATCAACATATGTAACATACATCATTTGGCAACATCAACCAGAAACTCGATCCATGTTTGGAGGGGTCATTCAATATCTTCAATGATGCCTAACGGCCTTGTATAGAAACTACCGATTTTGAATCCTAAAGTTGGGGTACTTCACACGGACCCAGATTCTATCACCATGAAGAACTCATCACATCCCATCTATTTCCCATCGAATCCCATTAAAACCAGACTATATCCCAGTTTCTAGTTGTTTATAACTCCAATGGCTATGCTTTCTGGTAGATATATCATATGACAATAAGCTCGACCGTGTCATTTGAATTCGTGTGCTCGAGGCGCCTGAGATCTTATATATATATATATATACACACATATATATATATACACATCATATACATAGTAATATAGTATTCATGAGGGTTCTGAACCAACAGGGCCCCAGCGAATTTGTCCGGAGCCTCTTGCTTTGAGGTGGCAACGAGTTCTCCACTCCAGGGCAGAGGCGCGCAGGGATCACAAAGTGAGTTGATCGTCACATAGTAATCCATAGGTATAGTTAACCATGGTAATTACTATGTGATACTAAAAGCTAATTCCCAACTATCAAGAAATACTAGGTAATTACTGTACCATGGTAATTGGAGAACCATAGCTATTGCACTACTAGGTAATCCATATTAGTTGATCACTTTGTATATCATATTACGGTATAGTTCTATAGTTACCATAGGTATCATAGAACCAATAGAAACCGAGTTGCTTGAACTAAACTTTAGTTCAACCAACTAGTTTTTTTTTTAATGATTTTAGTTCTACCAAATTTAGTGAAAAGTCCTATTGTAAGTACAAATAAATACGATATATCATTATAAAGACACCCAATAATATGGGAAGATTGGACAGATTTTGGGAATACATAGAGGTTTTCCATCATTGGGGGTCCTTAAATCTCAATTCCAAAATGGGAAATTTTGGATTGAACTCATTGAACGGATTGTTTGGTGAACGGATTGTTTGGTGAACGGATTGTTTTCTGGGTATAAGTCAACTATTGTTGTCGATGCGAAATAAACCAAGAGTCACTAATATCCTTTTGATTC